CACCTCAACGCTATCATGTCTCACAGAAAAAAAAAAAAAGCTTACCTAGTTCACTTCACTCGTGCCTTTTTCCTAACCCTAACTTCATCTCAGACTTGGACTTGATGTATTCTGGGTAGAAGCAGGGGGAAAAACAGCACTTTGGTGGTGCTGCCACCTTGTGGCAAAAACCTGTAAATGCCCTTCATATTACCTCTCTCACCAAGGAGCTGGGAGGGCTGGCTTTTCTTGCCCTAAACATCTGCACTTAATAAACATGACTCATTCCAGAGACTTTAGGAAATGGGCTCGAAGACAGAGGAGAGGACAGGATTTAAGGGCTGGGTGATATTTGTGGAGCTGAGGGGAAGGTTAGCAAGGAAGTCCTCCCTGTTCCTCCAGGCAGGATAAACTCCAGGCACAATAAACTGTGGAAAATTCTAAAAGAGATGGGCATACCAGACCATCTGATCTGCCTCTTGAGAAACCTGTATTCAGGTCAGGAAGCAACAGTTAGAACTGGACATGGAACAACCGATTGGTTCCAAATAGGAAAAGGAGTACGTCAAGGCTGTATATTGTCACCCTGCTTATTTAACTTATATGCAGAGTACATCATGAGAAATGCTGGGCGGGATGAAGCACAAGCTGGAATCAAGATTACCGGGAGAAATATCAATAATCTCAGATATGCAGATGACACAAGCCTTATGGCAGAAAGTGAAGAGGAACTAAAAAATCTCTTGATGAAAGTGACAGAGAGTGAAAAAGTTGGCTTAAAGTTTAACATTCAGAAAACTAAGATCATGGCATCTGGTCCCATCACTTCATGGGAAATAGACAGGGAAAGAGGGGAAACAGTGTCAGACTTTATGTTTTGGGGCTCCAAAATCACTGCAGATGGTGACTGTAGCCATGAAATTAAAAGACGCTTACTCCTTGGAAGGAAAGTTATGACCAACCTAGATAGCATATTAAAAAGCAGAGACATTACTTTGCCAACAAAGGTCCATCTAGCCAAGGCTATGGTTTTTCCAGTGGTCATGTATGGATGTGAGAGTTGGACTGTGAAGAAAGCTGAGTGCCAAAGAATTGATGCTTTTGAACTGTGGTGTTGGAGAAGACTCTTGAGAGTCCCTTGGACTGCAAGGAGATCCAACCAGTCCATCCTAAAGATCAGTCCTGGGTGTTCATCGAAAGGACTGATGCTGAAGCTGAAACTCCACTACTCTGGCCACCTCATGTGAAGAGCTGACTCATTGGAAAAGACCCTGATGCTAGGAGGGATTGGGAGCAGGAGGAGAAGGGGATGACAGAGGATGAGATGGCTGGATGGCATCACCAACTCGATGGACATGAGTTTGAGTAAACTCCGGGAGTTTGTGATGGACAGGGAGGCCTGGCATGCTGTGATTCATGGGGTCGCAAAGAGTCAGACACGACTGAGCGACTGAACTGAACTAAACTGACTTTGTTCCAGGCAAGAGGAGGGAACAGGCCAGGCTTGGTTTTTGTTTATTCACCCTTACCCTCTCAATTTCAGATTATTTCTGCCTATGAACATGTTGGAGAGTTGACTGTAGATTTTGCTACAAAGTTTATAAAGCATCTGTAGGTGGCAGGCACTGTACTACACAGTGGAGATTGTCCTCAAGTTGAAGGCTTGAGTCGAACACTTGGTCTGAGTTTGGTCTGATGTGTCTCCCCCCTGGGAAATTCTAACAATGGTCTCTGTCCTCAGGAAGCTCAAGACTAACCAGGAAGATGACACACACCATAAAACAGCGTGTAATCAAATTTCATCAGTGGTAGCAATTCACTGTGGACTGAGTAGCTCAAGGGATTCTGGACTCAGTGGAACTTGGACTGGGTCTGGAGGGTAGGGTAGGATTTGTGTTGATGGAGGGCAGGGCGGAGAAGGAGCAGGGAGCTAACTGGGTGGGGATTTCTGTGGCAGGGCCATTAATTGTTCATTTTGATGTTCCTGAACTTATGTAGGGCCTGGCACTTTGTGGGTACTCTCCAAATGTTTCTTGAGTTGAATGATATTTTTGTAAGCCTTGATCTATCTATCTTCTCTCTCTCTCTCTCTCTCTCTCTCTCTCTCCATATATATATATATATATATATATATATATAAAATATCTATCTATATTATGCTATGTTAAAAAGCATCTGAGGGTGCAGTCCATTACCAGTAAAACATTTTTCTGATAAAAGTTCACACACACACGTGGAGCCTGAGGGGGTGCTTTATTTAGTTTCCCATCGAGTCCTCGGTAGTCAGGGTTAGCAAGTGCTGATGTTCTGCACCCTCGGTGTTTGTTCCAAGTAGTGTTGTTACCGACCAGGGTTCTTGACTTCCTTAATCAATGGAAATTGAGCAGAGGCTAGGCAAGAAACTCAGGCAAGGTTTTATTGGGACCCCTGCTACAGCAGCAGGGAGCAAGAACAAATAACAGGTTCCCTTGCTTGCTCACTGCCTGAGATGGGTGAGCTGGTTTCTTATATGAGGTGAGGGTAGAGGTGTGTCCAGGGGTCCAGCCTGAGGGATGGCTGAAGTGGTTTGCCCACCTTTTACACAGTATTGTGTGTAGGGGGTATTCACAGTACCCTATTTAAGTTCCAGGGTCTTCAAAAACAGCAGTTGGGTTTTTTGGTCTCTTCATATTTTTCGTCCAGAATTTGCCCCAACTGCACACGCACACAGTTATTTTTCATCCCATATAGTTTCTTTGGGGCTTCCCTGGTGGCTCAGACGGTAAAGAACCCGCCTGCAAAAACACTCTCCGACATAAATCACAGCAAGATCCTCTTTTATTGGAAATAAAAGCAAAAATAAACAAATGGGACCTGATTAAACTTAAAAGCTTCTGCACAACAAAAGAAACTATAAGCAAGGTGAAAAGACAGCCTTCAGAATGGGAGAAAATAATAGCAAATGAAGCAAAAGACAAACGATTAACCTCAAAAATATACAAGCAACTCCTGCAGCTCCATTCCAGAAAAATAAATGACCCAATCAAAAAATGGGCCAAAGATCTAAACAGACATTTCTCCAAAGAAGACATACAGATGGCTAACAAACACATGAAAAGATGCTCAACATCACTCATTATCAGAGAAATGCAAATCAAAACCACAATGAGGTACCATTACACGCCAGTCAGAATGGCTGCTATCCAAAAGTCTACAAGCAATAAATGCTGGAGAGGGTGTGGAGAAAAAAGAACCCTCTTACATTGTTGGTGGGAATGCAAACTAGTACAGCCACTATGGAGAACAGCGTGGAGATTCCTTAAAAAACAGGAAATAGACCTGCCATATGACCCAGCAATCCTGCTGCTGGGCATACACACTGAGGAAACCAGAATTGAAAGAGACATGTGCACCCCAATGTTCATCGCAGCACTGTTTATAATTGCCAAGACATGGAAGCAACCTAGATGCCTATCAGTAGACGAATGGATAAGAAAGCTATGGTACATATACACAATGGAATATTACTCAGCCATTAAAAAGAATACATTTGAACCAGGTCTAATGAGATGGATGAAACTGGAGCCCATTATACAGAATGAAGTAAGCTAGAAAGATAAACACCAATACAGGATACTAACACATATATATATGGAATTTAGGAAGATGGTAACGATAACCCTATATGCAAGATAGAGAAAGAGACACAGATGTATAGAACAGACTTTTGGACTCTATGGGAGAAGGCTAGGGTGGGATGGATCTGAGAGAATAGCATTGAAACATATATATTATCAAGTGTGAAACAGATCACCAGTCCAGATTGGATACATGAGACAAGTGCTCAGGGCTGGTGCACTGGGATGACCCAGAGGGAGGGGATGGGGAGGGGGGTTCAGGATGGGGAACACATGTAAATCCATGGCTGATTCATGTCAATGTATGGCAAAAACCACTACAATACTGTAAAGTAACTAGCCTCCAACTAATAAAAATAAATGGAAAAAAAAAAAACAATCCGCCTGCAATGCAGGAGACCTGGGTTCCATCCCTGGGTTGGTTAAGATCCCCTGGAGGAGGACATGGCAACCCATTCCAGTATTCTTGCCTAGAGAATTTCATAGACAGAGGAGCCTGGTGGGCTATAGTCCATGGGGTCTCAAAGAGTCAAACATGACTGAGCAACTAACACTTTCACTTTTCACTTCAGTTTCTTTGTATTTTGTCGCTCAAAGAGAGGTGTATCCAGGGGCAAGCACTGCAGCACTGCAGCAAAGGGTCCCAGGTCCCAGCCTCAGTATCACCTCCTTTCATCTGAGACTGATTCCAAACAGGATCTCATGCCAAGAGCCCCAGCAGCCTGGGCAAACAGTCCCTGCTGTGGCTCTTGCTTCTCAACCCCCTTGGACCAGCCTTGAGGGTCTTCCACCAACCCAGGTCCCTCTGCTTTAGGCGGGAACCAAGAGGCCACAGCCACTGCCTGACCAACAACAAGGAGGCCTGCTTAGACCCAGTGCCCCAGGGCAGGGTTCTGGGCAAGAGAGAAGAGCCTCTCCTCCATCCTCTCTGCTTCCCTCATTATGCGGCCACAGACTTGGAGGACGCTGTCCACAGTGGAGACACGGCAACATCTGATACTGTGCCGAGGCTGGGAGTGGGGCAGAGGGGAGACAGGCCGTGTCATCCTCTTTGTCAACCCTTAGCCCTCACTTTTCCTGCCAGACACTAAGCTAGAAAACATCACTCAAACGTACAAGGAAATTCAAACAAGCCAAAAGAAGTTATAGCTCATTGCAGGGTGGGGAGGCGGGAGGGAGGAGGGAGGGGATGAGCATGGCTGCCAGGTTACCGGTCACCCTCTCGTGTTCCTAGGAAGGCTTCATTCCTTTGTTTGGCCATTTTTGCCTCCCAGATTCCCATAAAATACATGGTCCGACCTGTTACCTAACAAGGCCAGCGCCACTCGGCCCTTCCCGCCCTTTAGTGGAAACACTGGTCTGGGAGTAAAGTGCAGACCCCATCCCACTCCCCCAGCCATGTACCATGCGTGGCCTGAGCCGCCGGGAGAAGTGGGGACCCTCTCACTGGGAGCTGCTGAAGAGTCGCCACGCAGCAGCATCGACAGGTGAAATGAAGGTTCTCATCTCCTCTCTCCTCCTGTTGCTGCCATTAATGCTGATGTCCGCAGTCTCCAGCAGCTCACACACAGGTAAAAAAAAAAAAAGTCCACTTTCTACGAAAGATAAAAAGGGGGGAGAAACGTGGCAAAACAGGAAAGAGCATGACCGCACACGTGGTAAAATGTAGCCCCTTGCAGGCTACGGGGATTAGTGGTGAGTTAGCCTGTCTGGGTGCCTGTTTCTTCATTTACAAAAAGGAATGAACCGAACGTAAATCCTAAGAGTGTGGTGAAGTTAAAGGTGCCCGGGTGTACGGAGTGTCTGCAAGGGTAGCTGGCGGGAGGGGACCTTACCTCTCCCGCGGTCCCTGTTTGGGGGTATTGAGTGTCCAGGAGGCCGGGCCTGGAGATTGTGCAGAGAGGGTGTTGGAGGCAAGTGTGCGTCCAGACAGCCAGTCATCCTCGATTATATTCTTCCTAGTACACTAGACATGCCCCAACAATTCTTAATGCTTTTTCATGATAAGGTGATAAACTAGAAAAATCACACCACCAGGTAGAACCCATGTTTGAAGCTGTGACCACACCGGCCCTGTTTGAACAGCTCACCTTTAGGAAGCAGATCCTGGGTCAGGAGCTCCAAATCGGCCCCACTGTTCCCTAGAGCTGGAGTGGCCCAGCCCTGAGCAGAACAACTGTGCAGAAGGGACCCCCTCCCCACCTGTCTTCCCACTCTAAGTGACCATCTCCCCAAGTGCTACTTTGAGGTGAAATAGCTTTGTTACACACTCAGCATCGAGTGGGTTCTAAAATCAGGAGTCTACCCTCCTGCACCCATTTCCAGAATCTTCTCCCTTATAGAGTTCTCTGGAAGCCGCTGGGCCCCACGGCCCGGCGGGGATGGCCCTAGACCAGCATTCTGGGATGGAAGTCTTTTCCACTGCTGTGACGGGACCCCAGGCTGGAGACCTCAGCCTGGACTCCAAGCTCCTGTCATGACCGCCTTTCCCGACCATCCCCCCTGCACCCCTGCACTAACAAGGGCCCGTGTTCCTCTCAGCCGGGATCTCGGAACCTCGGCTGCTCCCCAGCTGCTCTTGCGTCCTCCCACCAGCTCAGTTCTGCTCCCACAGCTGCCCTGATGTGTCCCAGAGGCAGAAAGGAGCCCTCACCTCCCTGCACAAGCTTGGCTCCAACTGGACTCTCTCTGCACGGTCCACGTTCCACCTTGAGTTGAGTGTCTGTGTGTCTCCTACCCCAACCCCTGCCCTTCTGAGCTGTAACCTCGCCACTGGCACAACCTGGTATCTTGTTTCTACATCACTCTCATGACCCAGCAAGGTGCTAGGTAAATACATCTAAGTGGAAGAATAAATCCTCAGGTTTCTAAGTTCAAAATTTTGCTCTTAGGAGACTGGCCTCTCTTTACAAGACTTTGGTGGCTCAGACAGCAAAGAATCTGCTTCCAGTGTGAGAGACCTGCATTCGATCCCTCGATCACGAAGATCCCCTGGAGAACAGAATGGTAACCCACTCCAGTATTCTTGCCTGGGAAATCCCATGGACAGAGAATCCTGGTGGGCTACAGTCCATAGGGTCACAAGAGTCAAACACTATTGATGGACTAACACTTTCACTTTCAAGAGACTGGACACCCTGGTTTCATAGCAGCTCTGCTGATATTAGAACTTAATAATTCTCAGTTATCAGGTGGCGGGATGCACTGTTCGGTGCTTTGTAACATATTTAGCAACATCTGAGTGGCCTCTACCCTCTAGAAGCCAATTAGCAGCCTCTCCCTGCCCACCCCCCAGTTAATACAGTCAAAAATATCTCCAGACACGGCCAAATGTTCCCTGGAAGGGGAACCCACTCCCTAGTGGAGCCACTGCTCTCTACCAATAATTCTCAAACACGATGACATGTTTAGACTCACCTGGACCTCCAGACTCAGGCTTGAATTCAGGGGCACCGTGATCCAATTCCTGGCTCCATCACTTACCCTGCTCCATCACTTACCTTGCAACCCTAGACAAAATGCTTAACATTTTTAAATTTTTTATTTGTTCAGTTCATTTATTTTTGACTGCACTGGGTCTTCGTTGCTGCTTGTGGGCTTTCTCTTATTGCCGGGAGTGGGGTCTACTCTCCAGTTGCGGTGCGTGGGCTTTCATCATGGTGGCTGCTCTTGTTGCAGAGCAGGGGCTCTAGGGCACGTGGGCTCAGCAGCTGTGGCTCACGGGCTTAGCTGCTCCGTGGCATGGTCTTTCACGACCTGGGATCAAACCAGTATCCCCCTGCATTGGTAGGCGGATTCTTAACCAGTGGACCACCAAGGAAGTCTGGATGCTTAACATTTTTAAGCCTCAGTTTTAGCATCTTAAAATGAATAAAATACCACTTAGCTTATACAACTGTTTTGAGGAATAAACACTCAATAATGTGAACTTACTAAGGGTTCAGTAAAACTGAGAAAAGTGTTAGTCACTTAGTCCTTGTACGATTTTGCGACTTGAGTAAAGTAGCTACTGAGGCACAAGAACAACGAGTTGGGGAAAGCTCACTGAGCCGCCCCGAGTCCTTGCAGTCCAAACCAGTCAATCCTAAAGGAAATCAACCCTGAATGTACACTGGAGGGGTGGATGCTGAAGCTGAAGCTCCAATACTTTGGCAATCTAAGAAGAGCCGGTTCATTGCAAAAGACCCTGATGCTAGAAAAGATTGAAGGCAGGAGGAGGGGACGACAGAGAATGAGATGGTTGGATGGCATCAACGACTCAATGGACATGAGTTTGAGCAAACTCCTTGATGGCAAAGGACAGGGAAACCTGGCGAGCTGAAGTCCATGGGGTCTCAAGGAGTCGGGTGTGACTGACAGACTGAACAACACTGAGCCGCCAGGTGGCGCAATTACAAACCACAGGAAACCGGGGTTGGCGGCAGGGCTCAACTGTTTCTCAGACAAGGGTGGTTTGCAATGCTGGACCAAGTCTGGCAAGAAGAAATAACAGTACACAATATTCCCGCTCAGAAATACTCCACATAAAATCTGATCTTGCTTTATCTCTTAAAGTAACCACGTGCATGCGTGTGTGTTAAGTCCTTTCAGTCATGGCCGACTCTTTGTGATGCTATGGACTGTAGGCCGCCAGGCTCTTCTGTCCATGGAATTCTCCAGGCAAGAATACTAGAGTGGGTAGCCATGCATTCCTCCAGGGGATCTTCCCGACCCAGGATCAAACCCTTGTCACCTGCAGCTCCTGCATTACAGGCAGATTCTTTACTGCTGCGCCACCAGGGAAGCCCCAAAATAACCACATACATGCTTAATATGCTTTTCCCAGGGAAGAGGGGAAAAACGTAATAGCTGAGACACGATGACAATGTTAGGAAATAAATTACTTATAATAATAGAATAATTCTTTGTAAGATTACTTATTAATTATAATATTACATATAATAGTAGCTTCCATGTGTTAATCTTTGTGGCAGGCTTCTCCTAAGCACTTTACACATATTAACTCATTGTGTCCTCACAGAAATCTAGGGTACTTTTTTATTTTTATCCTTTCACTTTTCATACTTTAAAAAAAAAAAGTTGTAAAAATGATCAGAGTTCCAATAGATCCAAACTCCACCCAGTTGTTTTCAAATAACACCACATATAACCATAATACAATTATAGAAACTGGAAAATTAGTAGTGATACAATACTATTAGCTAATGGACACGTTTTCAGAATTTGCTAATCATCCACTGATGTCCCTTTCCTGGTCAGAATCCAACCCAGGATCCTACAGTGAAGAAAGTTATCATCTCTCCTGGTGTCCTCCTATCTAGGGCACTTTCTCAGGCTCCCTTACCTTTCAAGACCTTGACACTTTTGAAGAGTACTGTCCGTTAGTTATTTTGTAGAATGTGCCTCCATTTGGGCTTATGTGACGTTTCCTCATGACTACGTTCAGATTATGCATGTTGGGCACTGACACCACAGAAAGGATGCTTGCCTTCTCAGTGCAGCACATCAGAAGGCCCAGGATAACCAAGGATAATACCTCGGGGGATGCTGAGTTTGAGCCTGGTTAAGGTGGTGTCCATAAAGGTACTGTTTCTCACTAGAGTTAATAAGTATTGTGAGACTGTCAAGACTAGCACCATGACAGGAGCCCTGAACTAAGAGTAGGCCTAAGTTTCAGTTTCTCCCGAGGGTAGGGTAATTATCTGCCCTCAACAGGCCACCCGACACCAGCTAATCAGTACGCGCCCATTAAACCTCCGAGAAGGTCCCCTGGAAAGTCCCGTGCGCGCGAAAGTTTGTACCAATAAAATTGCTTTGCAAACATGTAACCAATCCGCTTGCGCCCACTACCCACTGCTTATGTTTGAAATCGAGCACCCTATAAATGTGCGTGGAAACTGGGGCTCGGGGCCCTCTGACTTTGCACCACTGCGTTGGTTGCAGCAGGGGCCCTGGCTCAAGTCAGCAGTAAATTCCCCTTCCTTTGCGTGTTGCATTGTCATGGAGGTCTTCTCTTTTCCTGCTGGGGGATTCGGACAGCGGGCATAACAGTATCCTGTGGAGAGATAGTTTGAGACTGCCCAAATAACCGGTTTCTTCTCGTCATATTTATGCCCATTAATTTTTAAAATCCATGGGTAATTCTTGCCTACAACAGGTATTACTCTGGTTTTAGCAAATCAGTGATTTTCTGTTTCCATTATTCCTTCTATGTTTGTTAATTAACATTCCCCTATGAGGAAGAGCTGTTCCTGCACCAAATATCCCTTCACAGCATCTATTTATCCGTGTCTCCACATCCTGGAGGAAGTGATGTGTAGTCAGTGATGTAGTAGGCAGCTCCTTAGGTTATGGTCTTTTCAAAAGTCATTGCTTTAAAACCATGAGTTGAATACAAAAGAGAGAGAGCTATTGCTTCTCTCTCATTTATTTAGGTATTAAATTATGTACTTATATAAGTAAAGACTCAGGGGTATTTGTG